AAAAAAAAAAAAAAAAAAAAAAAAAACCACCACACACAAATGTTGAGAATCATATCCTAAAGTGATTCATCAAAAAGTAGTGTGACATGCAATTGAAACTCCTGTTTCTCTTAGTATGACTAGTATTTCCTAAGTCGCATATTTTGGTGTGTCAGATTGAGGCATCCACAAAGGGAATACAAATGATCATATTTTTCTGCCTCTTTGTGCTCTATATTTTAAAATGTAGATATTGATACTATCTCTAATAAGTGTGTGCTTCAGGAGTTAGTTCACATTCTGTGTCTTCCTCTCTTGTTCCCTTCCAACATTGAAAAACCATACAGAGAGCAGCTGTGTGTGGCATACTCTGGGCTAAGCCCTGGGGTTACTTTGAATTAGCATTGATCTACATAAAACAGAGGGTGCCATAGAATTGTCATGACTCAGTAGCCCATCACCTCCTTCAATCCTGACTGATGATACTGTCTACAATGTGCTGAGAATATAGTGGTGAATACCAAAAGGGTCCTTTCATTCAGGGAACTTCCAGTGTAACAACTCAAACTCCCCACTGCTTGGAAGGGAGAGTAAAATATTTTATACGTTCAGAAGAAAAAAGCACATGCATTCATTAGGCAGGTGCAGGGCTGGGAGAAAAGGAGCATTTGAGGAGAGCAGTTGGATCTGGGATCCGCCTTAAGGAAGTGGGTGAATAGTGGTCCCCTCTCCTGACAGAACAGTGGAGAGGCGCCAAGACCATCCCTACCTGGAGCCATCAAAGAGGGAGGACTGCTATGACCTCCTGTGGGTGTTGACAGGGAAAGGTCCGCTTTTGGGGACAACTGTGGGGACAATGCAATGCCAATGTGAGCCACCATTTGAAATGAGAAAAAGCAATGTAGCAGAAAGAAATGAGTCTGGTGCAGACCAGTGGTTGATTTCCTAGGGTTAGAGGTCTAGGTCTACCTTCTTTTACAGGAGGAGCAGTGGTGAGGCCTTGATGGGAGCCCCCTGCTCTGGAGTTCACTTAAGAGCAGGTGTACCTTCTCCTCTGAGTGACTCCATGAAGCAGGGAAAGAAACGCACAGGAGGACCACCTTAGAGCCATGGGCCTGTCTAGCCCGAAATCATCTCTCCCCTCCCAGACTACAGTGCTAACACCCTCTTTCCCATTAGCGTCCAGGAGGGAGGGTGAGAGGACTGGGGAGAGGGAGGGGGCAGACACCCAGCAGTTCTTGTCGGGGGAGGGTTGGGAGGGGGTGCAGACACACCAAGGGGCGGCTTGGTATCCATCCGCTGCTCCCTCCAGTGCGGCTCTTCCCGACCTCCCGATCCTGTCCCCCGCCCTGGTCCCCAGCCGCCCGCTGGTCCCACATATTGTAGCAGCGCCAGAAATATGGTGGTGGTCGCCACGTTTTAGGGTCTGCGAGGGCCTCCTGACGCAGCCTGGTGCCAACACGCACATCCAGGCTGGGGCTCATGGTGGCCCCGCCCACCTCTGGGTCGGAACTACGGAACTACGGTGGGCCTGGGAGGGGGCGTCGAGCGCTTTCGCGCCGTATCCCTCCGCCCCCCTTTCCCGACACCCTTGCGGCGAGCTGTTCTTGCCGCATCCTGCGCAGCCCCTGCCTACTTTGCTGCAGAGGCGTGGGGGGCGGGACGCCTCTTTGCCATTCGGAACGCGGGGAAAGCGGTGGGAATCCAAGTGAGGAGCCGCCAAAGGAGAGCTGAGGAGAGGAGGGGGAGGCTGACGACCTGGGCCCTGGGCCTCTGAAGGCAAGTGGGGGTGCGTGAGTAGGGGACCAGGGTGCGGGGGGTGGTCTGCCAGGGTGTCCCGGCTGGCAGCCTGCTCCGCGGACCCTGTCAGCCTGGCAACGAGGAGACGATCCGGTCGGAGCCAGGCGCTGGAGAGAGGTGCGCAATGCCGGAGACCCCTGGCGATGAGGAGGCGGTGACTGGTGCGGGCCAGGCCGGGCTGGGCCAAGGGCTGAGGGGCTGACTCGGGAAGCACCGTCAGATCCTCCGGAGTCGGATCCTCCGGAGGAGAACCGCGCTGACCGCTTCCCAGCCAGCTTTGCAGGCGCCCGCGCCCCGCCCTCGACGGTGTCTGTGCCCAGAGAGGGCTGGGGGTAGGCTCCTGGAGGAGAAATGGCGGAGCGGGAGCCCTTGTGGGGTTCGCCCAGGGAGGCCATTGGGGGGCATCCCAGCTCTGTGCCCAGCCCGCGGGAGGTGGGCCACGTTCCCTACTCCGGACCCTGATTCCGGAAAGGGACCTGTGGGGCCCCTGTCCTGGGTGCCGTCCCACAGGCTCCAGGTTGATGTCAAAGTCTCCTGTCTGCGCGATAGGTCTAGTGGATTCTCCAGAAGTGGAACCGTGAGTGGGTGGATTATGAAGACACTAAAATGAAACGTTTAACCGCCTTTTAATACTGCACTGCTTTATTGTCTTACATATTTAGATCCCCACATCCAATTTTGTGCAAGCAAATGGACAGGGTGTAGACTGGGTCGAATTTCACAACAGTGGTCCGTGTAAATACCAGAGTAATATTTATCCACCTTTCTTGTTCAGGATCTGTTTTCTCAACTTGCTGATCCTCTTTAAGTAATGTAATGATGTGTGAGAATGTGGGTTCTGAGTAGAGGAGAAATCTTTTTTAAGGGTCAATTTAGAACATTTGAAGTCAATCAGCTGCTTCAGTTTCTGGTTCTGGAAACCAAAACTATCTCCAGCCACTCCTCACAGACCCCCTCATTTTGGTACAGAAATAGTCCCACGGAAGAATGCATGGCATTTGTGATGGTGGATATCTGAGGAGCTATGAGAGTTGGGAGACTTCATTTACTTAGTTTCTGATTCTCTAAAAGGAGGTGTTATAATCCGAATTTGGTAATCTGTCCCTTAACCTGCTATTTTTCTACCATTGTTAACAAAGTCTCGGGGTTATTTTTGGCTAATTGCTCTTCCTTCTTTTTGTAGGGTGTGACTCTTCCCTAGCTAGAGGACTCTTCTTTGGTGGGAAGGATAGCATCTCCTGAGAACCCCTGCTGTATGAGCAGGCTAACATAAATGGTGAATGAGGTAGGATCTAGGTATGCATGGGGAAGGGGAGGTACATGCACAGATGGTATTAAAATAACAGTCTCCATTATCTTCCCTGCCTGCCTTCTAAGTACATTTACCTATGTTTCCACTACCTATTTCTGCACCTCATATTTTTGTTCAGGGAAGGAGTATAACTTCTGTTGGGAAAATGACTGGCTTCAAAGTTGGCAGGAGGTGTAATCAGGCTGCAGGTCTTGGGGTGATGGCTGGGGAATCATTGGGGAAGAGCAGACAGGTGGGAGACATTTAAAATGGCCTTGAATATTCAAATGCATATGTTATAAGCCTTTTTATGGGCATTGGATCATCTTAGTCTCTTCTATTTTCTTTCCTCTGCCTTCCTTTCTATCCTTAGGTCTGTTCCTTTCTAGGTTCCTGTAGAGATCTGTATGTAGCTGTTCCCTTGGAAGTTAATTAAGAGAACAAAAACTATTTATTTGGATCCAAGGTAGGTTTAAGTGTGAGCACCCCTGTTGATTGGGGTTATGGAGAGGCTGTTGCCAAGTGGGTTAGACCAGATCACATTTTGGAGCCATTGTCTTCCAGCTTTCCAGACACCTCTGACCTCACATTTGTGTACAAGTGATGGGGTGGGGTAAGCCAGGATTATGCCGATGAGGTAATTGGTAGACATTGGGACGGGAAATGGGAAGAGAAGCCATGAGGAGTACTCAGAGGCCAGGAGTGTTACATAACCAAAGTCCTAGATTTGGAAAGGCAGGTTTTTGGTTTAGAGATTATAGTGCAGGTCTGTTAACCAAATACTCAAAATTCCAATCCCAGCTGTATTTTTGTCCATAGGCCTGCCCATGGCTTAACTATAGGGCTTATCAACACTGGAAACAAGGAAGGAGGAAGAATTGCACTGGATCAGTGCAGGTTGGTGTGAGGGTTTCCTGAATACACCTATGGAGTCTAGTGGTATATATTTGAGTGGTGGACCTACTAGCATGGATCCAAAGGGACTGGGTACTCCTTTAGCCTTTCTTACTCTGAGCAAGCTTACCTCCATCTTTGTTCCTGTTTGATGCAGAGTAAAAGAATGGCAGTGCTTGGGAAGGACATTGTTGAGCATTAGTGGCAGTGTGCAAGGTATAAAATGAAGTAGTAGAGTTTTCTGTTAATTCACTTCTACACAATTCATTTCTACTCTCCTATGTCCTTCTGTGTGGCTGTTTGCATAGAGAAGCACAGCTGGACAAGACTCAAAGCCAGTTTCTTTCTTCAACCTCAGGTCCATCTCCACTGGTAGCTGTGGTGGCTTTGGATTGTTGGAAGACCATCACCTTCAGCAGGTCTGCACTTGACAACATTCATTCTTCCCCAGCCTGAGTGTGCCTCTGCCCTCTGTATCATTGGCAGACGCTGTATGTTTGGAAAGAGAACTCTGTGACTGCAGAATTGACAGTTGACTCTAACTCTTGCTACCAAGTTTTTCCCTGACCCAGTAAAAGACTGTTAAGACATCAACCTAGGACACATTGAGAACCAAGGCCAAGACTGGACAGGGACGTATAACTGGGCTTCAACCATGACTGGGACTAAGAATAAGACAAGAGCCCAAGATAAAACTGAAAAAAAAGGCTATTGTAGAAGCTAAAGCTGGAGCAGAGAGAGAGTCTACTGGTGTGGTTAGGCTTGTAGCCAAGACCTGGGCCAAAACCAAAGATGAGGCAGGGTCTCAGACCGATGCTGTGGCAGAGATGAAGGCAGTGTCTAAGAACAAGTTTGTTGCTGAGATGAAGGAAGGAGCTCTGCAAAAGCCCTGGGCAAAGTCACCGGAGTTTTCAGTCTCAAGGCTGGGAAGGAGTCCACCAGCTCCCTATGTAAAAATGAGGCTGGTACTGATGCCTGGGTCTGGGCTGTGGAAGAGGCCACTATCAACTCCCAGTTCTGGAATGGACAAGAGGCTGGTAATCATTTTGGTGCTAAGAATGATAAGCCTGAAATTGGTGCCCAGGTCTGTGCTGAGGAGTTGGAGCCTGCGGCTGCGGCTGGTTGCAAACCTAGGTCAGGGGCTGAGGAGGAGGAGGAAGAGAATGTTATTGGGAGCTGGTTTTGGGAAGGAGATGATACTAGTTTTGACCCTAATCCTAAACCTGTGAGCAGGATAATTAAGCCTCTGCCTGTGTATGAAATTAATGAAAAAGATAGGCCCAAGGACTGGTCTGAGGTGACTATCTGGCCCAAAGCCCCTGCTGTAACTCCAGCAGTGTTAGGATTTAGATCCCAGGCACCATCTGAGGCAAGCCCTCCTTCATATATTGTTCTGGCCTCAGCTGAAGAAAATGCCAGTTCTTTGCCTGTGGCAACAGCTTGCCACTCTTCTAGGAATACTCGCTCATGCTCACAGCCTGTCCCTGAGGGTCCTTTTGGTTCTGACCCTTGCATCCAGACCATAGATGAGATTAGACGCCAAATCAGGATCAGGGAGGTAAATGGGATTAAGCCATTTGCTTGTCCTTGCAAAATGGAATGCTATATGAATTCTGAGGAATTTGAAAAACTTGTTAGCATACTTAAGTCAACTACTGATCCTCTTCTTCATAAAATAGCACAGATTGCCATGGGTATCCATACTGTTCACCCATTTGCCCTAGAGTTTATTAATAAAATGGTGTAGTGACACTTATTAAAAGCTTGCTCAGTTTTCCTTCCCCAGAAATGAGAAAATTATTTTACTCTGAATCCTCCTTCTGGGGATGAAGGACAATGCAAAATTGAATGACATGTTAAGCATATGTGTAAAGACACCATGTCATTTCCCTTGAACTCACGAGATTAAAGATTCTAGGACAACCGACTGCTGATTTTGTCCATCACTACATTGTTGCCAGGGACAAGTCAGAGCTTTTTCATCTGCCATCCTCAGGAAAGTACAAAACCAGAAATCTTGTTGTAAAAGTACTTTTAAATATGTCTGAACATCCAACTACAGCCAGAGACACGATCAATATGAAGTCATTGGCAGTGTCAAAACTCATCTTTAACCATAAACAGGCAAATTAAAATTGAACAAATAATTGGCTTGCCAATCTTGTTAGTGGTGTGGCCATATTTATAAAGGCGCATATCAGAAAGGGCTCAATTGTAGTTGTTGATACACTCATGGACATTTTCAGGGAATTTAAAGGGATTGTTGAAACAATGTAAATGAGCCAGAGATAGAACACTTTGCACCATCTCCAAACTGTAGCAGGCTATATGTTCTCAAAGAGCCTTGTATCATGTTTTGGTTATTACAGTGTACAAGTTGTATGCCGTATCTTTAACACAAAGACAGGCTCTAGGTTTGAGCTAAACTATTTTGGGGGTATCAGATGAATATTAAATCTTGGGCTGAAAATCTTTGTTGATTTTTATCTTGTCTAGATTGGCATATTTTTAACATTTTATTTAAGATAGTGAGCCAGTTCATTGTAAGATAACTTGCTCATTAGTATCTGCTTAGATCCATCTGTGGCTTAAAGTGGCAAAAAAGAAAATATCCTTGAGTTTGTAATCTAGTTGCAGAAGTAAGGCATACACACATACTAAGATAACTAAGAGTACCGAGAGAGAGAGAGAGAGAGAGAGAGAGAGAGAGAGAGAGAGAGTGTGTGTGTGTGTGTGCACGTGCACGCTCATGGCCAAATGTGCACTCTCTACATAAAGGAGGCAGGGTTTTTTATAGGCTGTTTAATGTAAGAGAAACTAATATTTTTCTCCTATTCCAGCTGTATCAGATACTCATTCCACAACACAGAAATGACCCAAAATCTCAGACAGAATGTATTATTTGTTCAATTTTAATTTTGCTTCTACATTGATAACTCTTAAATTGTCAGGCTGTTTTATTTATGTCAAAGTCGTCTCACAAAAGAGGGGAAACATTTTGTGAGTGCCTATTCTCTATCAGACACTCTGTTGGCACCATATTTCACAAGGTTATTTTTTCCCTAGGTACTTGTGTTTTTATTAGAACTCATTATTCTGAGTACTCTCCAATGAGAATGAGGGGGGGTAAATCCTTTTTCCTAGATTTCCACAGCAGGCAGGTGGCATAGCTGTTTTGCCAGACACCAGAACCCATCTCACCACACTACTTACAGTCCTCCTGAAGGACAGTTTGAGGTGGTGGCCTTCAAAGCTTGGAGACTGATTTTAATGGTTTAATTTTACAGTGGATGATGCTCATGCCAAGTGTTACAATTCTTAACTTCCTCCAAATTCATGTATCCATTAGACATTTGGCCACATCTGGCTGAAGGTCAGGAGAAAAGTCTAAGATGAATAGATGGATTTTATCTGGCAGTGTTGGAAATAGTAGGTGCCCAAAACTTTATTCAGTAAGATGTAGATTTGGAGTCATCAGCAAAGGGCAACTTGTTAGATGTCCTTTGTATCTTATTCTGCCCATTTGTATTTTTCATTTCCCAAGGAGCTGAAATCATTCTGCACATTGTTTTCTACCCTGAATTTAAAAGGTAATTACTTTCTTCCTCATTGCAAATCATGCCTTAATTTTTTTTGGTACTATTTATGACTTACTCTTCTATGTGTCATATGAAAGGCCAAAGGGTTTTGTCTTTTACTAGTGGGCAAGCCTAGGCATTTCTCCATCTGTACCAGCTAGCATGAGAGAATAAACTTAATTGGAGAAATTGAGACCCAGAATTGCAGCTTCAACAATACAAAACAGGAAAGCTAGAAGAGGCTGCTGTGTCAAGCTACCAGATAGTGATTCTTGGGTGTTGGTATGGACCGGAAAACATTCCCAGGACGTTTAGGCTGTGGATAAGTTCTCTAAGACTCATGGTGGGAATTA